GAGATGGGGTCCCCAGTGGTACTGGGGGTACCCATTAGTTGGAGGGGCTTGGGATGAGGTCCCTGATGGCACTGGGGGTACCCATTGGCCAGAGGGGTATGGAAAAGGGGCCCTGATGGCACTGGGGATGCCCATAGGCCTGGGATGGGGTCCCTGATGGCACTGGGGGTACCCATGGGCTTGGGATGGGATCCCCAATGGGGTGGGGGGCACACAGGACTTTGGCAGGGGCACAGGATGGAGTCATTTGTGGTGGTGGGAGGATCCATGGGCTTGGGGGAGGCCGGGGAGGGGTCTCCAATGGCACTGGGGGAATCCCTGGGCTCAGAATGGCACGAGAAGAGGTCCCCAGTGGCACTGGGAGCATCCATAGGCTTGGAGGGCCATGGGATGGTGTCCACCTTAGCACTGGGGGGTTTCAGGGCCTTGGGAATGGGTCCCCAATGGGCCTGGGGAGTATCCATGGGCTGGGCTGGGCCTTGCCTTGGGGTGCCCAGTGGTGCTGGGGGATCCAGGAGCTTGGGAGGGACATTGGATGGGGTCCTTGATGGTCATGGGTGCATCCATGAGCTTGGTGGGGACACTGGATGGAGTCCCTGGTGGTGCTGGATGAACCCATGAGCTTGGGGGGGAGCATGGGATGGGGTCCCTGGTGGAGCTGGGGGGTATCCATGGGCTTGGAAAGGGGTCCCCGGTGGCACTGGGGTTTTGGGGGTCCCTCAGTGTATCCCAGCACCCATGGGTGGAGGTCCTTTGGTGCAGGAAGCACCCATGACGTGGGGCAGAGCAGCCCTAAGGTGACACCAGCCTGGAGTGGGGGTCCCACCAAGCCCCCCCAGTCCCACCCTCCCCACCCCCAGAGAGGCTTTAGCATATTAAATATTTAATTGGCAGCAAAGGCACCCGCTGGGCTCATCAGGAGCAATTAAGCCCCCCCAACCTCCACAGCCCCCCCAGCAGCACCATCCTGGGGACCCCCACAGGATGGGGGGCTCCCACCTCCCCCTCCCTGCTCTCAACCCCCCAAAATGGGCTGGGGGACAGAGCTGGGAGCCGGGGGGAGCAGCAGAACCCCCCAGCAGGGCCAGGGAGCCCCTGGGGGTGCAGGGAGACCCCCCTGACCCGGCCCCCAATCACTGCAGGGGGGAGATCTTCAGGGGAATCATGATCCGCGATTCCATGGTCCGGATCAGCGGCACTGGGGGAGCAAAGGACACACAGGTGAGGCCAGGGGGTCCCCAGCACGGCCAGGGGGTCCCCAAAGCGCGTGGGGGTCCCCAAAGCGCATGGGGGTCCCACTCACCCGTGTAATAAACATTCTCATCCCAGCCCCTCTTCCTCCAGGCCGCATTCCTGGTCTCCTCCCGGGACTGCAGATCCCTGTAGGCTGTGGGGGGAGCACCCTGAGCCCCCCAGCTCAGCCCCCCAAGGCTGGGGGTGCCCCAGGGTGACCCTCCCTTACCCCAGAGGTGGTGCACCACGTAGAGCTCCCCGATCTGGGAGAAGAAGCCCCCAACTGCCTCCTGGTTCTCCTGGCGGTACTTGATGGCCCGAGCCCTGCGGGGAGCAGGGGGCACGTGGGGGGCTGCCCCTGGGGGTCCCCCCTTCTCCAGAGGGAGCTTTTTCCCCTCCATGCTGGGAAAGCAGGGCCTTACCAGTTGTTGCCCCACTCGATCATGGTGCCTGGCTGGAAACAGGGGGGGAAAAACAGTGAGAACCCACTGCTCATCCACCTTGGGAGAGCCCAGTGGCTCTGGGGGTACCCATGGGCTTGGGATGGGGTCCCTGATGGCTCTGGGGGTGCCCATGGGCTTGGGATGGGGTCCCTGATGGCACTGGGGGTACCCATGGGCTTGGGATGGGATCCCCAATGGGGTGGGGGGCACATAGGACTTTGGGAGGGGCACAGGATGGAGTCATTGGTGGTGGTGGGAGGATCCATGGGATTGAGGGGAAGCTGGGGATGGGGTCCCCTGTGGCACTGGGGGGCATCCTTGGGCTCAGAATGGCACGAGAAGAGGTGCCCCGTGGCACTGGGAGCATCCATGGGCCTGGGATGGAGTCCCTGATGACTCTGGGGGTACCCATGGGCTTGGGATGGGGTCTCCAGTGGCATTGGGGGGATCCTTGGCCTCAGAATGGCACTAGAAGAGGTCCCCAGTGGCACTGGGAGCATCCATAGGCTTGGAGGGCCATGGGATGGTGTCCACTTTAGCACTGGGGGGTTTCAGGGCCTTGGGA